TTTTGTGCACTATGATTTGTTTTTCAAGGTCTTAGTGGGTAGCTTGGAAGTAACTTGTTTTCTTATTAGAGTAATTAGGACTATACCTTGAACAACTCGATGAAGTCGCACTCATTAAACGTGAAGCTAAGGTGCAGGTAAGGTGCAAAGCGCGTGTGTATAGGTGTATTAGGCGTTAAGCCCGCTCTCTCTTTTCTAGTGCACAACTTTTTGGACTGAGCCGAGACGATCCTTAAACCCGAGTAAACCTTTGTTTAAACCACCACCGACGTAAACTATCGACGTATATAGTAGATATGTGAAGTACTGAAATTCGTTAGACTCTAAGGAAGTAGCGATCATTATATATCTTTTGGAATCTGTAAATCCTTTGGAATATTACGAAATCGATGCTCATTAGAATCATGAGATATGTGGAACATTAGAAACTGTTAATGATGAAGAGGCCTCAAAAGTGCGTTTTGATGTTAATATGCCAAAGACTGCTGGACTTCTTGTGGCATAAGAAGAACAGTGTCATCAAATGTCACCTATATCAATGGTAACCTCGTCAAACATCGAGTAACTCTGGCAGAACCGGCGAAATACCAATCAATGCAACAGGCTGTATTGGGCTCACTCGAAGTATCATTGGAGAAAGCGTGTCCTCCTTTCAATACGAGGCCCATATTTTCGTTGTCCTTGCTAAGAAAGAAACTCGAGCTCTACGGGCTCTGTTGTGACATGGAGTTGCTCTTAGATTGGTTGACGTTTAAAAATATCGGACTTCTTGGCCTGGGTGACCCGTTGCTAGCATCATCACCTTGCTGTATATCGATGATTGACACCATAGGAGTTACTGTGCCGTCCATAATTTAGTGGCATAATTTGATCAGATCATCGTAGTATGTCTATCCTCATTGAGGTACTACAGTTCCACAGTGTTATTGCCATCATTGTTGGTTTAGTACACCTGTAAAGCTTTACACTTCAGGATTGGCTCAGCTGCGTAATTGATCTGCATCGTTCAGTTACCTGTTGAACTGTTCATTCGCAACTTGCACAACATCATGGTAAAAAGGAATGGTTATGGAAACCCACATCGAGAAGCTAAAAAGAATTTGTTCCTCTCTTCATACTACCAAAAGAAAAACGAGATGACAGAGTGGTCTCATTTGGAGCAGATGGTGTTGAACTTAAAACACATGTGACATTGTTTAGAGGAAGTGGATCTCTCATAAGTGTGAAAATTGATTGCAGATCTCAGCGAGAATGTTGCTTGGTGGATGTTTTGTACTAGAAAGGGAAATTTTTATGGCATATGAGGCAGTAGCCAACTATAAAGTTGAAAGCAGTAGTCTGCATCAAAACACACTATTCATTGCTAGATAGATGTCGTCGAAAAACATGTTGTTCAAAGAATCATCGACTTATAACTCAACAGTTGTTATAATGTTTGCATTTTTTCCAAGTAACTTATGTTGTCGTGATGACGTCACATATAACTACCGTCATCATTTCTTTGTTGGTAAACTTTCATTGATTACGTACGGTACGATTTTCTGGATGCTGCTGAGACTGTGCGTCGACGCAATGGCTGTAATGCAGCTGGCAGGAACTGTACACGCTACTATAGGCGTTATCATCGTGTTATGGTAATATTTTTTTTCTCCAGTAGTCAAAAAATTCTTCCTATCACTGACATGCTCCTTAATGTGTTGAATGGTTCATCTCCGCCATGGGTAGTAATGCAGTCCAACAAGTAGCAAAATGATGGTACAACCCCCTCCCAACGCTCTCATTCAATCCACATGGGAACGCCTTAGGTCGGCTATCTCTATGATTGGAAGGAGAATCGATTCGACCTGCGTTCTACGACATTCGTAAAAAGAAGACGATACCCTCAAGCACCAGCCGAAACAACACGCGAAATGTACGAAGACCTTTGTGGACGTGAATGTGGTGAAAACGAATCGAATGCAAGAATTGCTGGAATCTGCTCAGTAGATGTGATGACAGGTCATGCGAAATAAAATAAAGTAAAAAAAAACTGTAACTTTCCCCAGCGAAACCGTCCGACTATGGTCCTTAAAGTTCCATATTGCGTGGTACATTCTCATTCTTGACTGATTACACTTTTGATTACAGGTTTCCGTAGAAGTACTAATAATAACTGATGTGTTATTGCACCACAGCATTGATGTTTTGAGACGGAGTATATACCAGACATTATTATTATTATAATAGACGACCACTTGATCGTGAACCTGTATCTCGAAGAGTTAGGCCGTCGCTAACACAGCTTCCATTCGACTTTTGTTGTTTTATCTCCGAGGCAAAATTTTTTTATCCACTAGGATAACTAGACAGCCATTCATGGTATTGGTATTTCATGGTATTCTCAGATGGTCACCATCGGCAATCGACCAATCTTATGGGTCATAAGCTGGCCTTGTGACAAGGTTTCTTCAATTATAACGACAGCTTTTGGCATTTGTTTACTCTTAGGTGGGCTTCTTAGTGGAAATGTAGGACTCCTCAGCCTGGTACTCTACTATTAGTTGATCCACCTGTTATGCATCGCTGTCCATGACCTAGGAACGCTCCTTGCTCTGGTTAGGTAGTAAACCAATGAGAGCTCTAATAGATGATTATTTATTATTAATATATGACATTTAATATCGTTCTATTCTCGTAAACATATGCTTCTTCCAAGATGAAGCCCTTTAGTAACTTGGAACCTACTAAGAAACTACTTAGAAATTACTGAGTTACATGTAAATATTATCGTTGTTTAGTATTGTTAAGTTATTTATTCTTTAGCGATTCCATTGATGATGTTAACGATTACACCATCAATATGTACAGTATTTCAGTCTCTTTTACATCCCTTAAACTTGATTCTATGTGTCTTTACACCATGTACAACTTCTCATTTACTGCCCATTACTTTTTCATGCCAGCGTATTATTTGAAGTACAGCCACGGTAATGCTGAGATATTTGCAAAACTTAGACTCCACACCAGATTCGAAGCCGTGACTATCCTTCCTGAGAGTTCACGTGTTACCCACTGCACTACCGAAGCATGGTTGTGCACCGTTCGTTAGGTGATAGTTATTTTTACACCACTTTTTTAAACAATTTTTGACCTTGGTTTGCACCACATGCCTTATTGTGCATGAAAATAAATCGTTTGTCGCATTTACTTCGTGCTTGATAGTAGTTTCGCTTCTATCATGTTTTCTTATTAAACTGAAAAAGAAAAACTTTTCAAATTCGCAATGATCTACAATTGGTGGCTACATAGGAATGCGGCTAGCTTAGCTACACTGGAGCTCCGTGAAGAACTTGTCCAACCAGTAAAGTAACAATCAGTCTAGAAGGCATAAAATACCAATCAGTTCCCGATAAGAAAACCAGATAGCATATCCTGCACTATACTTACTAATGATGCGTTTTTATTTAAGCTCTGTGTATAATAGTATGAACAATGAGTGAGAGTAAAGAGAAATTTAGCGCAATAGTGCGGCAAAAAGTGCAACGGACGAATTCGCTCCTCCCCTAGGACCACCTCGCAAAAACCTCCCAAACTCTCCGTCGGCATTGCCATTTTCACGCGTTACGTAATCGACGAGGGTGGTATACCATTACTGGTTATTTTTCCTCTTCGAAGACAACGCAACTCGTCCCATGAGGACGGCGAGTAATGAGAGCAACGTATGCATTGTGATCGTGTGTATGGTTAGTGTTTCGGAGCTATTCTATGTAGTGATTTCGTAAGCGCAAACGAAGTGATTCCAATGATTTGTTATTGTTGTCCCGTAGAGAATTCGTTATGAGTTTCATCATCACATCGAGCTTCTCGTTCGTTCGATCCCCATGAGCAACAACTATTCGACCGGGTGGAGATGAGTCAACTATTTGTAGACATATTTTTGCGCCAACTTGCCATAACTTGACACCACTACCACATAACCCTTTTCTATTACGGTATTCTGTTTTGCCTTCTTCTTCTGGTGGAGACTATTTCATCAAGGTGTTCGTTTGTTCCACATTTGTCAATCAGTTTTCGACGTTTCTCCTTTAAGTGAAAATTTCGTGACGCTATTATTTTGGCATTTCGTCCACTACGTTTGCCAATTAGCAAAAAAACCTTAGCTCACGTTCGTAATTGAATATTCTCTTTTTTTCTGTAAATCAAACGTTCAATAGTAGCAAATGTACAATAACTGGTTGACTAGGAGGAACAGTGTTTATTGCAGTCCGTCAGCCAGCCAGCGAGCCAGGAACGTTTTCATCCGTTTGGCGCGCGCTAAACTATTGAATAACTCCTGTCTCGTTGTGAAATATGACTCTCTTAACAGTACTATCGATCGATTTCTTAGTCATTGTTATCACACTTACTCACTGATTACATTACATGTGTCTATGTCTATAGGGCTGCTGATTTGTCATTACGCCAATCGTCGTATGCTATTGATTCAGATTCTGTATCATAACAAGTATATGGGTCTCCAAATGTCTCATAACATCATCGGATATGTTTCAGATCATCAAGTCGCATTCAAATACTGCTCTTCTTAGAATCAGTACTGAAACATTTACACTTGAACATATTTGTTTAATGAGGTATGAGGTATTCAATGGCTCCAAATGTTGAGATGTTAAAATCAGGTACGGGAAGTTTGTAACCAAAAACGCACGTTGGATAGGGAAACACTTCAGCTGGACATGTATGGGAAGTTATCGCTGGCTGAACGGGAATGTGAATTCCGCTGAGACATTCAGAAACACCCCACAGACTGCGTGAGTCATCCAGTTGTCATGCGACGGCCAATGTTTCGCAATCTGTCAACGTGTCGTCCCGTTTGAGGCTATGCTATACTCTCTAGTGCCCTAAATTTGTCTACTGCAGCTCGTTCATCGTCATCAATTCGTTTCGTATTTGCTCGATAACTAAGATGATATACAACACACGTATGCTATTCAGTTCGGTTCCACGTAACCCCTGTTCGATTCTCAATCATGTCTTAACAGTTTATATCCCGCTGGCGTACTACTATTCACATCGTTAGAATGAGTACAGTGAATTGGTCTAACAGCCAGCCAGGCAGGCAGCCAGCCAGCTGCACTCTTCATCTGCTGCTGCATTATATGTCGTCCGTCGGTCGATTTTCTCTTAGCAGCAGAACTATTTCGCAACGACTGAACGAATGAACGAACGAATGGAGGGACGGACGGACCGACGGACGGACGGACGAACGTGGCCGCCGAGATGACGACGGCGCCGCCGCCGCCCGCACCGCCAGCGCTGCAGCCGTCGGCCGCCATCACAATGGCAGTCGTCCCTCCCTCCCTTCATCCCTCCTCCTCCTCCTCCTCCTCCCGCCCGCCGCCATTCGTCTATCGGGTCGGTCACCAAGGGTAGGCAAATGTTGGCTACCAGGAACGAGTTGACTAGGGATTATTCCAGATAACTTTTGTGTTCTTCTGATGCTGAGACATTTGCAAAACTTGGACCCAAAGCCAAATCGAACCGCAGCTACCCGTTCATCATTGCGGTTGCATTTAACGTAATACCATGCCGTATAAAAATAATGGACAGTAAATAGAACTCATACGTTGTAGTTGAATATATTTGAATGCACGATGTTTTCTTGATAGACGCACGAGGTTTTTTGAGTCTTTAGCTCATCACTTTATCCTTCCAACTACAAAAGGACGGGTTTTCTCGTATACAGACTTGATTGCATTACACATTGTCTTAAGAATTTTCTGTTTTCCACTCAAAAAACTTGAAATACTCTACACCTGAGATACTCTGTCCTACCTCCAAGAAAGCTAAGTGTAGTCGTTATTCGCGAAAGCTGACATTTTACCGGATTTCATCTTCTTCAGGCCATGGGAAGATCAAGTTAACTACACCCTAGTCAACCAAACACCTTCATAACCCTAACAGAAAAAGTTAACGCCTGGATTTTAAGGGGATGGGGAACAAAACAGCTTCTTGTCAGACTCACCGCTTCCTATGAGTATCGGTCCACTGGGTATTCCACGTGGAACGCGTTCGTCCGTGTTCTTCTTCCCACTTGGAAATCAGAAATGGCTTTCTCAGGTGTTTTCGTTTTCATTTACCTCGCATTAGTTATATTTTTATCACCGTAGGTTTCGTGTTTTTCTCTGTCTCGTTGTTTCATGTTCTCTTCTTTGAAAATATTCTTGTCATTCATTACGTTTCTTTCCCATTTCTCACTGACTGCATTACTTTCGGAGTTTGCAATAGCAGCAACAAGGACCCATCTGTGATCGAACGATCTCTCCATGCAGTCTAACGATTATGGACTATTAAACTGTGTGTTTGATTTTGTTTTCATTTTCGATGCTTCCAATCTTCTGCGCTTCTCTTCGAAGCGTTTCGTTCTTCGTCCTACATCGAGTTGTTTTGAGTCAAGTCATCCATGCCGTATTTTCATCTTCCTACTTTTCACTCTGTCTTTTTTCTACGTGCTTATCATTCTCAGCTATTTTCGATTTTATCTTTTCACATGACCAGCCATCCCATTCATCCTTTCACACTTCTATGTTTTTCAAGTCATTTTTCACATGACTACTCTGATGAATTCGTTTGTCTCTTAGTCACTTCTTTGTCCTTGTAATTGTTATCAAGTCATTCTTTTGTCCTTTAATTCCGAATGTGTTATCTGTCCTCTTCAAGGATTTTATCTCCGTCGTAGAGATGCTGAAGTTGGTGACTTCTTTAACCAATGTTGAGCTACTGTTTCATCTACCCTTTCTAAGGATATCCTTGGTTTGAAAGGGTTACGTTCAACTCTTCGAATATTCCTAGCTTTACAACTCTTTATTACTCGAGAATTTCTTTGCATTTTGTCATCTTCGTTGTAAAATACATGTGATCTACGAAATATCTTTGATCTACGTTGAACCCTCTTGCGTTTGTCGCATTCAGCTACGTTCGAGCGCGGCGTACTATTGATTGCTGTGTCCTTCCGACTTTTCATTTTCCTAAGTGATCAGACCCTTAGCGAACTTATTCTTCTTTAATGTTTAGTTATTTACTTTTACGAATCTCATTGTTATTGTGGTCGAGAGGGCTTTCCAGTTTGATGGGGCAAACTCGTGAGTTATACTTGTTTTCATCTCCCAGTACGTCATTTGAATCCACCTTGAGAGATCGTTCTCTTTCGAACAGTTTCCATTGTGTGATGTTTCCCTCCTTAAATAGGATTCGTCTCAGTTCTGTTTGTTTTTATTATTAATATAGTGACGTCATGGTAGTAACAATAGAATAGAAGCTTAGAACTATCTAAAATAAGTATCTGAGACAATAAATGAAGTTTTAAATAAGATAATAAATAATAAAAAGTGAACAAACAATCAAAAATCGATCAATAAACAAAAAAATCAATATATATAGCAATAACTAGGGCAATGAATAATAGGGCAATAAATGTATGCACTGAAAATGAATGGTACAGTAGATAGTAAAGTAAATAATAAGTAAATAAGTAATTATAATAATTCTTTATATGGTAGAAATTGTGGCAATAATAGTAATAGGAATAGTAATAATGATAATATAATAATAACAATAATAATAATAATTCAGTAAGTAGTAAATGAAAAATAAATAAAACTTTAGGACCGAGACGAATCTTACGGTAGAAGATGTCACACAATAAATATACTAAAAATAAGACCTATTTTTTGGAGGGTATTTTTCATTCGGAGAGAGAGAGGGGGAGAGTGAGGGAGAGGGCGCAGAGAAAGAGAGGGTATTGATCGGGCTGGTATGCAGCTCTTACAGAATTTCGAAAGTGTGTTCGCGGCTATGACGCAATTCCGAATGTTAGTCAGTCGGAGTTAGTCGAGTCGTCGTCAGCTGTTGTTCTATTGTCTGGTTGGTGGATTTTGTGAAACATCAGTTGATTTTCAGGTATTGTCCTCGACTTCATATCATAAGAGAGTTAGTCACACTGTATTGATGATAACCATGTGCTCACCACCACCCCATTCCACACCTCCCGGAGATCCGCTGGGTGTTAATTTTGGAATTATGAACCAGGTACGTTGCCACACGCACGATTTCTATTCATTGTTTCCGAGTGTTGGCCACTATCATCAGTGGCTCTTAGTTTAGTTTAGCGCTTAACTGCTTCATTATGACGGTTACAGTGAAGATTTACTTGCTTCAGATATCCGTATCGTCACTAAGTTCACATGATAACGACAATATGGATAACGTACTACAATCCCAATCACCCGGTTTGGAATTGGCAATTGGTGAGATCACAGTCGCATCGGCTGTTGCAAGTGAAAAAGCTCGTGTACGACAACAATCAGCAATGCTCGATAAAGTGAGTTTGAGGATAGAGATGGCTCATACACTATATGAATGTGCTGTTATTGATAATGTAGTGGTGTTGATTGAATGAATGTAATGAGTAGTAGTAATGATAACTGGATGAATGTAATGAGTAATGAATGATTGTTTAAGTGGTTAATGGCTAATGGAGGAAATCTCTATCCGTGTCGCGAAGACAAAGAAAAATTAGCAGCGTTGATGAAAATGACCTATTTACAAGTAAGTGGAATGTTTTCTCTTTTCCGTTTTCACTGTCTTTCTTTATTCCATTCAGGATCAACTATATACGTCTCTTTTTTCGTAATTTCCTACTATTTTTAACGTTGTTACCGTCGCTCCACTGATTTTTTTCCTTGAGTTAGAAAGAAAGAAAACTAAGAGGTTTGGGAAAAAAAATGAGAAAAGTTTTCTTTTTTGTCTCCAGATAAAGTCGCCTTTTCTTTCTCTTTTAGGCTTTGGGTTGCTAAAGCGATGGTAAAAATTAGGAGACTGTGGACCGCTTGAGACAAATTCGATTTACACGACTCAAGCGTTTGTAGTGCTACCTGTTTAGTCATTAGCTCTAGTAATGAGTAGTTTATTGAGAATTCGTTTTGCAGCCAAAGAAAGAGGAAATTCCGGATTTGAGTGGAAGTTATACCTCTGTAAAATTATCGTCTGGACCTTGACTAGTGTAGTGACGTCGGTATAAACTTAGCGTACATCAGAGGAGTATTCTGTGCATCGTTCTTGCTTTTTATAACCTTCATCAGTGCTTCTCATTATCGCAGTTTAATGGACGAAAATAGGTTCCTAAATATCTTAGCACTTATAGCAAGAAGGAAGTCATGTTACAAAAGATATTGTTAAACAGCGGGTAACGGATTGGTCCCTTTCCACGAAGAATGGAAAGGGTTGTTTTCCATTAACTGATACATTGGTGATTCAACTGAGCTTTCTTTTCGAATTCCTGAGAAAACCGGCCATTTCCAAGTCGTAACTACAGGTAGTCATTCCCCAGCGTATCTGGATAGGAGAGGTTTTTATTTTATGGCTAGGTTTATTTTTTTCTGGAGTTGTCGTATTTTCTAGCTTCTGAGTCACGCTTTTCTGTTGGGATTACAAATCTTCTGAAATTGGGAGACTTTGCAGGGAGGTGGACGTCTGTCATATAACCACTTCAACCCCTAGGGATATCCCCTCTCATGACGGATATACAAAGAGAGATGGTATTAAATTGTTATTACTGTTTTAAAAGATATACGTCGAGCTTACTCCTGGATGACTCAGCTGCTTGTTTTCTTTCTTTATGCTGGAAATAATCTTGATCGAATTCCAATACACTTGAACGTCGGCGTTTTTTTCTTTTTAATATTCTGCAATGAAGTAAGCATAGTGTGGTTGTTTACTGAGGAGTATGCGAGAGAAGTGACGTTAAACTTCATCATAGCTGATGTAACCAGCGAATGACTAAAGGAAATCAATGGTTCAATATCATTGATTTGTCATAGGTGCATGTTTTATCGTGGTGTTCGAATACTACCACTGTCGACAAATTCTCTCAAAGTGACGTTTTCATTTGTTTGTTGTTAAATGTTAATGGTTATTCATGCTTCTGTTGTTCCAAATTTTGTCGTCGAAGGCGTAGGTGAGCTTTAGGACACTGCTTACACCTTCTGTTTGTCGCAGAGGAGCTGAAAATCAAAGGTTTACTAAAATTTATCTTCACGGAAGAGTACAATGAGTGCTAAACAATGGCATGTGGACGTAGAATGAATGCACTGTGTCAGCCTTATCGTTTGATGTTTACACTTTTATTTCTGAGAAGATCCGAATTCCTTTAGTTACCAGAATAAATGGTGAAGTCTTTGAAACGATGGTACAGTGGTGGAATGTATCATGGTTTCAACCGTATTGGTTATGTGGAATTCGTCATGGTTTCATTTGCATTTGTTGTCATATCAGTTGTGCTAACAAACGAACAACCTGTTTTAATGGAAAATTGCGTTGTTTTCCATATAACTGATATTTTGCTGGTTTGGTAAGACTTTTTTCCCGTCGTCCAGAGAAACCTGAGTCATTGCGTTCATAGATGGTCACAACAGCCATTTGTCAACTCTTGCAAATCGGAATAAAGTTAACCACCAATTGCAACAAAATTTCTTGTTTATTTCTAGAGTTGTTTTGCTGCTAGCTAGGCTTAAGTATGCAAATGTCGGACATTTCCAAACCTAGTTGGCTGACCTTGGACAGTAAACCTCACTGTAGTGAACTTCGACTGCAATTAACACCTGCGGTAGACCATTGGAGGAATTATGTTAATTGATGTTTTAACTTTTACTTACTGCCTATTCTTTTTTCGTGGCATAGTGTTTTGTGGAGTACAATCGAAAGAACCCTGCCATTGAAAAAGAAAAGACAGTGAGCAAAATTTAGACATTGTGATTTCGACTGCAACTTCAGCTTAACTGAGTCCAGTGCCAATTCGTGGCCCCAGATAATTTTTGTTGACGGATGAATGCTATTAGCACGGACAGAGTAAAAACATGGTTGAGAAAAAGGCGGAGCAAGGGCCTCGGTGGTGCAGTGGGTAACACGTGAGCCTTTGGCAAAGGTAGTCGCGGATTCAGAGCCCGACTGAGGTTCCGAGGCCTTCTGTTAGTGTGGTAGATATCATGTGAGCACTCGAAAAGGCTAATTGAGGGTCCGAAGCCCATTAGAGGTTCCTAGCTTTACTCGTATCTCATCATTTTTGTGGTTATGTTAACTGAATCAAAAATGTAAGTGCCGAAGATACGAGATAAAATGTGTGCGGTCATCAGTGTAGTGTGGATAGACGCTACAAACGTCGTTTAATGTCTTTCGGTTGTAGTTTATTCACAGATGTAGTGACTTGTCGTACATCAGCACATGAATGAGATTCAGCAGTGTCCTTTGTTCGCTTTTAAGGCACCGATTTGAGTTTGAGTGCTTTCGTACGTGGTGATGCAAGTGTATTCATGTAGAAGAGTTATCAGCGCGAAGTGACTAGTGGCGTGCTGCCTGAGAGTTGATGTTGTTATAGCTAGGCTGTATTTTATTCTTTTTTAAAGAATATGGCTTTTTCAAATCCTAACCTTGTCAGTGATAACGTTTACCTGACCTTATTCTTGTCTTATTCCTACTTTAATGTGGTTGGGATGTTGGAATGCAAAACTGTATAGCTGGCTGAGGGGGGAGTAGCACATTTGATCAGACAGACGTTGAGCATATTGATATAAGCGGCCCATAAGTAATACATATATATATATATATATATGTATATGTATATATAATATAACGTATGTGTACATATGTATGCATAAATATGTATGCATATACTTATGTATATGTATATATATATATATATAAATATATATACATATATCGCGTTGGAAGAAGTCAACAGTGGGAATGTAGCAGGGAATAGTATTTCCCAAACAAACTCATTCATCTTGCAAATGTGCAAGAACAGTTTCTACTTCGAATGATTTGTTTACCTCTCACGTTGTTTTTTTATCGGATTGCTCGACGAATAGAAAAGACACTTAGATGGAAGGAGTACAATAAATAATAACAGCGTGTATATGGTACCATGTGATTGCCTTGGATTCCATTGAACACGCTGTACACAATTTGTACTGGTTTCCATACTAGTGATTTGTTTCTAAGGGTGTTACTACAACAGTTTACAAAAATAATAGTCTCTGATCACCGTAGTAAGCAGTGGACAAACTCATAGATTTCACTAAAGAAAATCCTTACAGAAAAAAAACTTATAAATGTTGTTTAGTAGGTGCCATATTAGGCTCGTTGCTATTCTAAAGACATGTAAATTGGTAGATTGCCGGCGATATCAATGACCAGGTGGTACTATCGAGTGCGACAGTTGAGTATTGTGCCTAGTCTGAAGACTATTTATCTTAGTGGGATAAACAAGTTTTAAGTAATAATTGGTGAAATTTTGCTATGTCTTCGCTATCATAAGAAGCGCAGAAACACTTGGTTATCAATGGTGAGGATGAAATTTCTTGAAAATAGTTAGTTATGGTTACTATAAGAGATATCGATAGGACCTAGGTTTTTTTTCAAAGTTTTTCGAAGTGTCGTAAATTTTATTGGGCAGATGTGTAAGTTTATGAGTGAACGTGCTGGCAGTACCAACGCAGTGAGAATATCCTTACTGTCGCCTTTGTGAGTTTACAATATTTCGGCAGAATTTCTCTTTTCTGTTTTCTTCCTTATCGTCCGCTGAACTTCAATTGTTCTTTATCGTTGACTGAAAGGACAAAGGAAAGCTGATCTTTGTCTGGTTGTCTAACCATCGCACAGGAAGTGCAAATATATAACCTTGATTTGGAATACAGTCGATTAGAAACAATACTGTATTCTTTTTAGTAATGTAGTAGTTCCTTATCAGATTTTCGTAACAGGTTCATTCAAATATCGTAGAAATTTCCCAAAGGCTTATACTATTCTATACACGAATTTTTTGGGGTTTCTATTCCAGTACATTATATCAACTTTGCTGGATATAAATTATTCTAAGTCATTGGAAGAGCTATTCACTGACGAAAACTTTCGTAGTAGTATTTCAAATTCAAGTTTTTGTACGTACAGTGATTTTTCCAGTGTTCTTGTTTTATAAGTGGTCGCGTGGAACACCGCTAAACAACTAGAAGTTAGCCGTCGTTCCGTCCTGTTCTCAGCCTTCATTAGTGTCCCTCGTCGATATTCTGAGTGCGGCTTTCCACTTCCGCTAATCGCCCCCGTATAGTTTGATGATTAGATTCATTTTGCTGCAGAATTTCCGTTCCAGCACTATTCGACACATAAAGTCGTCTATCGTAGGCAAAAACGTCGTTATCGAAGTTATTGACTTCTTGATTGGTCCACATGAAATCAGGGGTACAACACTTGTCTTACTGTTGTTACTGAAATCTCAGTGGGCGAAACATTTTTGAAAGCAAAGAGTGTAAACTAATATACTAAAATAAGTCAGCTACTGCGGATAAGTACTGTGGTAACATCGTGTTTGCTCATTAAAAAAGGAAACAGTGGATTGTGAATCAGTGCCATGGTTAGTAGAAAATCGGCGTTGAAAACTACTCAACTGTGTGTTTTCGTAACTCCAAATAAAGGTTCTGAACAGGGAATTCAATAATTTGATGGGTATCCTTCTCAACATGGATTTCATAACTAAGTCGACGTTGTTTTCAGATATTTTTATTATTTCTGTTATTATTCAACCTGAGAAAGTGCCGATGTTATTTTTGACTGGCTGTGATTGAAATGGTTCACTTAAAAAAGAAACGTTTGTTAGAAAATTACACTGTTTCTGGGTTTCTTCTTAAAATCGACATTCTCTGCCTACTTCATTTCTCGATTCCAGAATCAATGGGATGACGTGGGTGTTCTTCTTCGCCCTTTTCTCTTTGTTTATGGGCAGCTTTATTTGACTTAGTTGATCATGCAGGTTTCTGCCATTTGCCTAAAAATGAGGGGTGCTTTCTTTCCACGGGTTGCCAGAAAGTAGAAATTTTCAAGATTGGTTTCTGCATTCCTGCAGATATACTGTTAGATAAGAGTAGGTTATTTACAGTTTATAACAGTCACTGAAGCGATAGTATGTCTATCATAACAGCATTCTTTAACTAAATAATTTAATTATCATGTGGACTTCTAAATTTATATTTTCGGTACATTACCATTTATACTATGAGCGGCAGAAAATTCTTCCACATTCATAGTAAAAAGTTCTTAGTTCACTTTTATAAAGGGTTACTTCTTTGAATAGTGGTTTTATCGCCTCCAGAGAGTATATATATTTATTATATATATATGTACGTATACAGTGATATATATGTATATACATATGTATGTATATCGGTTTTTCAGGTTAATCGTTGGTTTGCAAATCGCCGTCGAAAGCAAACAAAGCGCACAAAGGTGTGTTTCTCTCACTATGAATACTTGTTTTTTGGAATTATAGTTCAGAAAGGGAAGTAGTTCATCTCTTCAATATTTACCAGTTAACAATATTATTAGCATTTACAATTGTAAGCGATTAAAATATGTGTATAAAAATGATTGTTTAAGGCCGTTCCATCACCAGTCAGTGTCACACCTGCCAGTTTTAGTCAGGATCATAGTTCACGACCGAATACACCGGCATCGAAAGAGAATGTAATGACACAACTACCATCAGATGTAATCTCGGCATTTGCACAAGGTATGTGACCGAACTTCTGGGTGAAGTTTTCCTTAATTGACTTCGTTGGGGTTTCCATCGTTTTTTTTTCTTCGAATTTTATGCTAACGGCTGCTAAGCAAATCTCCTCTTCGTCTGGTATTGTCTATAGGTGTTGCGCCTATTTTTTCTCTTATTTTGCTAAGGTTATAGTCATTGGACGGGTAGAATTATGGGCATCGAGCTTATTATGCGGGCAATGTGAACGGTTTTAGCATTTATCAGGAACTATGGTAATGGTATTCGTAATTCAGTGTGCAAGTAGTGGACTCTGTGCTTTTAATAGTAGAGTGTTCTACGAATTCCGGTTTAAATGGTAATGTAGTCAGCATTTATAGTTTTTCTACTAGCCTTTAAAGAAAAATGCAGTCGTGCAAATGTTCTGTGCCAGTGCGAATATTCTAAATATTTTACAAATATTCGTTGTATCTGTTCAGCTATTTGATTTAGTCTCCTAAACCTTACATTGTTGAGCTGTAATTAAGTTACAGCGAATATTTGTCAAATGTCTAAGCTTTTTAAAAGCTCTACCTCCTTAGTGAAATATAAAAGCTTTTTTAGTTTTATCTTTTCAGCGGTCTAATTTCGTCAACTAAACCTTGCATTGTTGAACTGTGATTAAGTTACACCTCATAATTTATGTCTCCGTCTTTGTTTACCGACTTTGTTTTTAATCGCTACACGAAATCTGCACGTCTTAACATAATTGGTAGGATTGCCTGTTTTGTTCCTCAGCGGCTAATCTAAAATGTGGTTTTTGAGGGTGGAAATCTATCGATTGCTATGAAATAGCTTGAAAGGACGACTAGATTGCTATCTATTATTTAATATTAGGGAGAAAGATGACCAAATTGTGTGAGTTAGCGAGAATGTGGTAACAGTAAGAAGAACAACTAGGGGCGCTGCTATTGTAGTATAGCATAAATGAAAAAAATTTTCAATCTAAACTATACGCTTCACTTTTATGTTGTAATGTTTTCTTTTTTCGTAATGACAGCTATGGGAAGCTTTGCTAGAAAGAAACAAGAGGTTTGTCATAATTCGAAGCAGTAAGGGTGTTCGTAGAATCAGTACTGGTACATACAACAAGGTAATACTTATCTGTTTCCGTCATACGAAGCGTTTTATCTACGTGCTGATATTACACTGTTTTCAGTAGTTTATGTGTTTTGTCTCTATTCTACATAATTCAGTTAAATGTGAACAGTATTTCAGCTGAGATTTAGCTTCCCATCCTTGGGAATTCCACTTTATCCGGCAAACCTTTCTTGTAACTGGTAGTAGTGTTCGAATTCTTCACGCTTCACAGCAGTATATGGGTGGTATGTTGATGTGCTTAACGACTTGCCCTCGCTTGCCAGCATGCACTTTTGTTGTTCACGTTATTTTCGTAGAAGGCTCCACCTCTTTGTCAGGTTATGTGCTCGGCGTTTTTCAAAACATCTGCAAAAGATTTTCGAAATGAAAGTCGATGGTTGGCTGTAAAGAGCGGAATGTCAGGGAATGGCAATCAAGAAAGTAAAGAATTTTTACTCCAAGAACAGAGAAATGTACTTGGATACTTAGACGACCCCGTCCCGTCTTCACGAATTGTGCGGAGCGTAGCACACTTTCCTTTCGCATTACGGAGAAAATGCATGAATGAATTAAGAATAGCCGATGTTGTTCAGGTTTAGAATGAACGGTTTTTCTAAGCTGGTCGACAAAATTAACAAAATCGAAGATTCCTGGTATAGTCATGAAAAAGAATCGATTAAAACTTACTACTCAGACTACCGAAATCTTGGGTATAGTGGATTTGTACCTAGGAGTAGTCACCTCAACTTTGCATGAAACATCTGGCTTTTCTTCTTGATTGAGATACAATCTTTTAATGAATGTGGTAGAAATTTCTTCATTATCTATTCAATGGGTTTTTTTCTCGTTTCATTATTACCGATAGATTTTATAATTAACACTCCACATTTAGCGCTGCGTTGCTTCTTACATTCTTTCGTAAGACTCGGTTATTGAAGGTCAATGAATATCTCGTTTTTTAGGGTAGTGTTTTCATTAGCTTGACAAGGAACTTATTGATCTAAACTTCGATTGAAAAAGTTTGTATGTTTAAATGTTCAGTGATTTTCTGTTGTAAACGAATTGTCCTAATTGATTTTTTTTTTTACTTATACTTGGTTGAATCATCTCGTTGTAATGGCTGCACTTAAAGTAACAGCACAACGGGAACTGAAATGAAACGCTAATCCCTCTTCTTTTTTGTCCTCAATCATCTTTTTTTTTGCTGGAACCCTGTGAAACTTCGCTGTTGTTCTGTGAGATAGCGTACGCTTAGCACTGCCAAGTATGACAGATTCAGTGTTTTATTGCTAATGAAGCAATAGAGAGACATCTAGTCTGGTTTCGATAGGAACGTTTTCCATGCTGCATTACTGACGTCTACATTTTTGTCGTCAGTTTTGTAATAGTGTATCTCCCATCCCCCATTCCTCATTCGTGAGGGAAATAGATCGCGTTACGCCGACAAGGCAGGGGCAGAGATGGTCTTTGTCTCAAAGCGAAGGTTATTCGTCCACCATCTGCCCAACATGTTGCACTGAAGCCGTTATATCCCGCAAAGAATTGGGGCAATTGGCCGTTACCAATAAGAGTATAGTGTAAGAATAGACGTAGGAAATTGTTACTTTATGAATGTAGTTACTACCGAATAATTTTGGTTTTTCGTCGATGGTTTTTGATTTTTATTTTTCAGACTTCAAAAATTGATCGCCAAGGTATGAACGTTATTAGTTGAATCTTAGTCTTAAACATGAAAACATTAGGAGAGAAATTGCTCAGTGTTTTACTACCTAATCTTGTTAAGCGGTTGTTTTATGGGGAGGTTGGTTGGTTGGGGTGGGGGTCTAGCATGAATTTCACCATTCACTAGCGAAAGCAAAGCTTATCTTGCATTAAGTTATCATTCGAATTAGGACTGCGCTAAACTGGCACGACAGTGTAGACAGGGTCAGCAGGTATTTAAATTGCCAAGTATAATAAGGAAAGTTGGGGTCACTGTCACTTGAGAAAATTACGTCCTTGTCTTAAGAAACTTGCTTTAATCTGAGCTTTCATAGTTCATTTTTTCTCCCACCTTTTTACTAATTCCTAAAGGACAATCTTAAGTCTCCATTTATTTGATCTCTACATCCTAAGATGGATAACCATTCTTTTTGGTACTTTTCGAGAAAAAAAACACTTCCTTGATTGTTGGTAGCTCGTCAGAGAGGATAACAGCTCTCTATCTTATCTGCTGACCTCTATCAGTCGTATAGATGTGTTATAAGGCTTGTACAGAGATTTAGGATATAGTAGTGAATGATGAGAGTCATGTTTAATCATGGTCATGCCCATGAACGTACATATACAAAAGTCACCGAATACTTGAGGTTAAGTTGGCCTGCAAGCCCCATAGTACATCTTCTTTAGCACCTCAGAAAAAAGTCCGGGTGAAAAACCAAGTGAACCGAAGTTATGCCGAGGTCCGTACGATTCGTAAAGAGGGCCATCGTAGTATCCAAGTGTGTAACATCGAGTGTGATATGTGATCTGAGACGTATCATAAGCCGTAATGGTGACCATTCTAAACGTATCATCGTCACTCGTTTACAGCATTTGACAAATTTGTAATGATATTTTTTATTACAATATGTGATTCTGATATATCTTTAATGTTTTCAATGGATATTGTCGTAATCACTTTTATAAGTTCAGAATGGCTTTCAATTATAGATGTTGTTCTCAGAAAGCAGAATTTTCTTTATAAGGGTTACTAAACTCGAAAAGGACTTGTTGCTGCCGTTACTAGGTAACGGATTTGTAATTCTGTAAGCAGTGGGTTGCAGAAGAACGTTTATATTTAGCGCAAACGAGCACTAATATGCGAGTAGAAGAATGACGTAGCTTGTGGTAACATGAGGAAAGCGAAATCTAAATCTAATTTTATTCCGTTTTTCTCAGAGTTAAGTGCATTTTCGATACTTGCTTGGTACTTGAATGGCCCATCCTCACTGGTTGTACGGACCCCAGCATAATCTCCATTTTTCGGAGATTTTCTCGTTAAACCATTATGGTTCCCCGGAGTCCCGAGGTCAGCCTGACCAAAGTCTGAACCAGGTCTTCACCATTACAGGTAGTCGCAGCCCTTGTGGATCAGAGGGAGATTTACCACCATGCGACTTTAATACCAGGAGGGCGGTGGATCCTGGTTGCTTTGCTCTTAACTAGGCTTCCTGATGGAAACGCCTGACTCCTTCTCGGCTTAGGAGACCCTGCCAAGGGACGAATCTCCCTCTGGACATGGCAGTCCGACACCCTGGAATACCTCCCAGCCACGATGAGGCGGTAAACCGTTGGGAGGCATTTTCGAATACCTAATAAATGGCAACGTTTCTGATTAGATCTACCAAATTCATTGGTGACTTTCCATCTCAAAGATCTAACTTATTCCCGTTCAGTTTTAACTTTAATTCAATTATTTTTATGAATCGTTCGTGAGAAGAAGGTGGAACAACACAGACAACTGAACAGTAGTTGAACATAGTTCGTCGTAACAGATATTTTTACTCGAAAAACTTTAACAAACAACTTTTGTCTCTGGATGACTTGAACTCTAAAGTGCGCAACCGTGGGCTAGAAATGGTTGGATACGACCTTGAGCCGATTGTTGAATTGAAATCGAGTGAGTCGTTTTCTTGTTCAGCAATCGCGAGGTTTTTAAACAGCATACATTTACTTCCATAGAAAGACACAATACAATACAACGCTAGCTGACGTTTCGGCAGTATCGCCTTCTTCAGAGCCTGGAAGGGTATACTGATATACAATCTACTAGGCCAAACGCTTCAATAACACTTACAAAAAAACGACTCTTTGGTAATTACATGATCAACAGTTTCTTGAAAAAAACGTCGGCTAGCGTTGTATTGTATTGTGTCTTTCTATGGAAGTAAATGTATGCTGTTTAAAAACCTCGCGATTGCTGAACAAGAGAACGACGCATTCATATTCCAATGCCGAGGTTAATAGAAAGTCGATTCTGGAAATCGAGTGACTTGTTAGTTCGATCCGCAAGCGATCGAGGCGATTAAAGAACATTTTTTCTCTTTTGTTGTCAATTTAGCCTAGGCAGCAGTAGTTATGCTGTATGTAGATAATATCGTACAACATCCATTCATGACTGGTTCGATCGTCGTCATCGTTCGTTTGACAATGATGGTGGCGAATAGATTGCTGTTGTCTCACGACCACCATTATCGCTACTGCATAACTACTGCACAACATTTTTCGGTATCTGGTAGAATGTTCGTCATCATCGTTATTTTCTTCATTCCCTCTCATCTTTTGTGTTTTATTTCCGCGTTTTTTTCCTTCCGCCGCAATGCCGCGTTCGCTCGCACAAATTGTCCTACGGACTTCTCTACACGCTCTCAATGCCGGTCGAACGTTTTCCTTTTTTTCTATTCACGGTCACGTCTTTTAGCTCTCCTCCGACTACACTCTGACTTCCATCGACTCACCGTCGAGTCTCTCCCTCTCTGTTTCTCATTTACCTCCATGCATCCCCGCGCTCTTCGGACGTCTTTGGCGTTCGCCGTCGTCTTGTGTCTCTCATCTCCGTTCTCCGAAGCACCGCACACACACACACGCACAATACACAGTGTGCGCGTCGGCCGGACGCCCGGCCAGTACGGCCCCTCGTTCGGCCCCACTCCCTCCCGCATCCTCGTCAATTCACCCCTCCAACTAAAGAGCAGCAGCAGCATTTCATCGCTGCTATAGCGTTCGATGTGGTTCGCTTTGTACTACGTGGAATTTGTTTATGAAGTGAATTTGGAATCATGTCGAATCAGTTTCTTTGCTTCTCTTCCTCTTTCTCTCCAACTAAAATTCTAGTAACTTGTAAATCATGGGACATTTTACATAGTTAGCGTCCACAATGTTTTTGTTGAGCAAACACGAGGGGTTACTTTCTTTATTCCAGATTGAGGTATTTCGTCGGGTAGATTGCAGTCAACTTGACTTTTCTAGGCTCTGAAGAAGGCGAAATCCGCCGAAACATCAGCTTTTCCGTTCATAAAGAATGAATAATGGATTATTTTATCAGTGCCGAGGTTAATAGAAAGTTAGTCTTGGGAATATTTAGGTCGTTGAAATATTCTGGATGACATAGCAGAAAGTGGTTCGTACTTTTTTTTTACGAAATTTTACTTCCAATTTGTCGCACTTTCACGTCTACTATGCGACCCTACGCGGTTCCACGTTCTGAATACTTTGAGTTGTAACGGGCGTCGCCTTTTTTGTTCCAAGAATTTCTCGTGCCTAATCGATAGAGTAGAGGATCTTTCCAAACGAAGAATTGTTCCTAAAATGGTTCCCTCCTATCGTCATCGATGTGGATATTATACGTTTAACGATGATAGCTCGCAGTTGAAACATATGGTCGTAGACGCTAACTGAAAATGAATAACCGCATTTATTCATGACAGCGCTTGGGGTCTTTAATGTGCTACATTTGGCTAGGCTGTATAAAAAATCAAAAGTTCTCATGCGCGTAACCTTGGCGCGTGGCACTTAGCGCTTTTCGCTAAGAAGTATTATCTCCGTTGCGAACCCCTTGTACCGAGATAATTGATGATAATGACGACAGTTGACGTTGTCGTATCGTCGTACTGCGCGAACTGACAGAATGTGTTTCACTTTAATCGACATACGATATTCATCAAAGAACCTGTTGAAGGATTCTTAGGCTGAAAAACCTTCCAACATTTAAACCAAAGACGCCATCATTAGCTTGAATGCTTGGCTACATTGAGGAAGCAAGTTCACGTCACATAATACTAGGAACTTTAACCACATCTACACAAAATTATTGATTAACGGTCTCTTATAGGTGGGGAACATCATATCAGGAGTATGGAAGGCTTGAAAGTAGTTGATAAGAATGTGTTTGGGCCATCCATGGATCCATTTTCAGCCAAATGTAGTATCTGGAGAAAAATATTCCAGCAAATTAATTTTGCAAATGACTTTACGGTTATTAACTGTAACCGATAGCACTGGGTGTCTAGTTACGTTAATATAGGTAAACTAAACGTAATTGGGTAGATTATATCGGAAAAAGGTTAATCTTTTAACTTCTGGTATTCTTTTTATACTTGCGCAAAGACGATTCCGTTTCTTCAATAGCTTCGTCCGGTCTTGTTCGTTCAAGTTTCGTTAGGAACTCACATCAAGTCGTTTTTCTAAGCGCGCTTTTTTCAGCTTTGGATTTCCTTGTTTGGAATCTTCGATTGCTGCTTGGGAAACATGGTAATGTCTTATGCCGTTCTTTGTCCTCTACTACTGTTTCTAATTTCCAGTCTTGTCGTCCTCTCCTTAAAATCCCATTCACCCAACAAAATCCGCTAGGCGTATTCCCAACTGTATCAACTGTAGATTCGGCTGTCTGTAGCATTACTGCAAAGAAAAATGTTAGGGAGATATCTTTTATGCTGATTCAGCTTGCTAGCAAACGTATGGAATTTCGCCCACTTTCTCGACGTTATTTCGTTTTTCTTCTTCTTTTTTTTCCTACAAAAAGGGTTTTTTACGAGTTCCCATTACCTCCATTTAGCCCTTGTTTCGCCTGCGTTTTCTCGAATAAGTTGGTTATCTGCTATTCTACAGGTGTTGACGGAGCCTCAACTTTGCCACTTTGGTTTGAAGTCGTTTTTTAGCGCAACTAATTTGGCCAGGTGTCGCATCCACTCCTGTGGATGCATGAATGAATGAATGAATGGACGAATGAATGGATGAATGAATGACTGCTCCGTCATCGCAACAAAAATTGCATCGGAATACCAGTCGAGGACGGGTGATCGTTTAAAAAAGGTTATGCTGCAGGGCAGGCAGGAATTTTCTTTGATTGAGATTGAGCACTAACCGTGTAAAATCTCTCTTGACTTAATCTGAAACGTTTGTCTACGGTACAGCTTTTTCTTAAATGACTATCATGTGCTACCACTGATGCGAAGTGTAGTGTGGTTTTCTGATTCAAAATGGCGTTCATGCGTTGTTTTCTGAAAGCATTCGTAGTTTCAGTACTACTTTTTCTCCAAAGTTTCAGCAGGTTTCCTTCTTACCGACAGTTTCTGTAAACAAGTTGCTGAATTGAATTGCGTACGATAATGTGCGAATGTTGCCAGAAGTGTAGCTTGACGCCAATAGCGTTCTTTCAATGGAAGAAAATATATGACATCGGATTACTTATGATACGATACTTATCGTACTATTATATGCGAATCATAATCTCGATAGATTTTCGATTGTTCCCTGTCGCCATAAAGGCGACCAGAACTGACCCATATGAATAATGGTTAGTTTGTTCTTGTCGTTGTAATACGTATTCTCGAAGTCGGCAGTAATATTGGACCGATCACGAAGGTTGTCATTCTTTTGCAAAGATCGAACTTTGGGGGTTGTCATTATTTTTTTCCTGAGTAAAGAATGCTGTTAGGATAATATATTAACATAATGTATTAGTGTTAGGGAAACGCGTCTCTTAAAAGCTCTGCTCTAGTTTTCGCACCTTACTAGTTACTTTCTTTCATGGCTTGAATTTCAGTTGTTTTATATAAGAACGAAGTTACGAAAGTGGTTAGTGGGTGTCATTGATCTCGTTTGTGTTTTCATATCAAAGCCTTTTGTCGAAGATTTATTTTAGTCGCGCTCTTAAAAAAGTGTCAGGTGCGACTTTTTCAAATATCAGCTGACTGTCAGACTTGATTGCTTTTCTGTTTTTCTCTAGGTTCATTCACTTTTTTGCTACCTTATGCTAATGGTTGTCGTATAGGAACTTTCCTTTGAATACATTCATGTTTTCGGCCTATAGAACATTTCGTTGGACACAGCATCTCACCGCCTCTGATTAAGACGCGGATTTTTCCGAGTATAGTTTGTGAAGCCGTCCCTGTTGACAACGGAAAATCTGTGAAAAGCACAATGAGGTGCATATAGCGGAGCACGTCCATGCATTTCCTTTCATAATGCGGCTATTCGCCTATGGGTTGTTTTTTCATCCATTCATCATTCGTATCTGATGGAGTGCTTGTTTACACTCAGAGCATTTGGCGGTTTTACAATTCGTTCGTTGGTGCGAACGTGGAGTGAATGACTGACGATGGCAGGGATTTCGCAATTTCACTGACAGCCTCCATCTTTCCACGACTGGTTACGTTGCTATGACATTTTTCATGTATTGTCCTAGGTGGGATGGAGTTGGCGAACTGAGTTGAAGCCGCCGTGCATATTTCCAGTGTCAGAGTTAATGTAATTTCTAGACTGTCGTAGTATTGGGACCGGCCCGACAACCATCTCCAGACCCGGTCACATGCCGGTTCAGCCGGAGTGGTTATTGTGTGTCTAATCACTGCTGTCCTTCTAGTTACGCATCTTTGTTTTTGTTAAGTGGTGTTCGTTCTAAAGTGGAAAAAGTACAACCATTGTTGTATGGCGACCTTTATAGTAGTATCTTGGTATTTGTTTAAGTACGACTACACGTTTATGATCTAAGATGATCTACAAAGAAGCATTTTTTGTTCTTTGTTCTCCGCTCCTATTTAAAATGACCGCATCTATGGTTTGATTGATGGGCTATGAATCTATTTTTGCTAGTACAATTATTAATCATCTACCATTATTAATATGTCTACAAAGTGAAAATCTACAGCGGAGCGGTAATCGCAACGTGCATGTTGTTTGAATACGACTCGTTACTAACCGTTTTACGAAGTGTCTACGCAACCAAGGTTGCATTATTCATTTGTCAAAAACGGCCTTCATTTTGTAATATCCGTCGAGTGTTCTTGTCAATGAGTGGAAAAAGTCGTTCTCCTAAGGAACACCAGTTTCTGTTGCAGCGTTTGCGGCTCAGCAACCTGAAACTGACGAGAAGATGGTCGTTCAGCAACAGCAGCAACATCAACATCTGCAGCAAAATCATACTCAACCTCAACAACGAGAACACGCAATCACGCCGCCAGCAATAGAGGATCATCATCCTCATCATTTGAATGGAACCAGTACAACTCAGGTAACATTCATATTTGTGTTAAAATTCATTCAGCAGATTCTGAAAAATGCGAAATGATTAGATGCAGAAAGATAAAAACTACATTCTACAATAGTGTGTAGGATCATAAATAGCTTTTAGGGGAAACTAGTAAGGCATGAAATATTTATTTAGGTTATGGCAGATATGCATTCCACAATGGTTCCTCCACTGAATGCACATGAAATGGCTGCAAAAATGCTAGCTAATGCGTCATTGCCTGCAAATTCTAACGCTCTGGCCCAATATAATCCGCTTTTATTGGCCATGTTGCAGCCGTTGGCACTTCAACAATTATTGCAGGCACAAGCCTTGCAGCAACAGTACATGGTACGTATTATGACATGATAGAGAACACAATGATAACTAGTTAGTCTTCTTATTCTTAATTCTAATTCCTTAGCAGTTACAACATCAAGCATTAGCACAACAGCAAATGGAAGCTCAAGCTTTATGGGCGTCGTCAAGTATTTCGGCCAGTCCTGCGCATGCATCTGATAGCGAGGTTAGTTTTTGGGTTTAGACACTCATTGTTACGTTAACTACAACTCCTTAGAAGTTTGGTTGAGAACTTAGCGGCATTAACGTCGGAAATCCTCATGGGTGAATTTGTTTAACAAAAATACGTAACAAACTATTTACATCTTTTACTTTCTCCAATTGTTTTCCAGATTTCAAAAAACTAAACCAGTTTTAGGTGTCGGAAGTCTCAGAACTGTCCCCAGTACCGCAAACGGGGATGACGATGCGTCCGCATTCGCCGCCATTTAAGGATCCGCATCAACTTGCCGACAAGTCCCTATTGAGGCTATTAAACCTTAATCAGCTATCGGAAAAGGAACAAATGGCAGTGGCTGTCTTGGCTGGGTTTGCCTCAATGGGCCGTTAGAGACATGCGGTCCAAATGCGGACGTGTTTTCATGCGTCCATGCGTACAAGTTTACGTTACGCTGTTTAGCGTGGCGTTTTCTAGCCACCGTGACAATCCGAAACTGAATACCGGTTCCCCATCAATTTCTTGTATCGCATTAGCGTTCTATAATCAACGGCTTTTCCTTTTGTCAAATTTTCCTCTAGATGGTATGTTGTATATAACTGCTACTACCATTGATCCACCTTGTTCATCCATCATTCATCATCTATTAATAAATAGTTATTTGTTTATGATGTTTACTTCAGCTATTTATTGTTTCACATTTCTGTCTCTCTTTGTCGTAGTTTTTTCCGAAGTTTCCTATGGTGTAGTACGGATATTATCGGTGATATGTGTAGGCGTTTTGGTTGTTTTTCGGTCACGTTACCATGCAAGTGTGTTCTGTTCGACTTTTCTATGAATTGTGTTTTTCATTCTGTTTGATTTCCTCACTTGCTGTGTTCTCACTGGCTAACCGTGAATTAACCAATCTCGCCTTACCTATCCATCACTAAAATGGTTAAATACGTGTACGTTTCTCTCTGTCGTTCTCATCGTTGACCGTGTTATTAGCGCTCTCCCCTATCGAGTGCAGGCGGTCTTTTTGTTCACATTGTGTTGGAAAAAATGAAATGTGTTGTTCTTAGTTGTTGCTTTGAAGCGATTAGTAGTTGTATATTACTCCTTATATATATTTTTTTGGATGTTTCCCTTTGTTCTCAGTATTCTTCTCTACCTTCCCTCTGTCGTTATATATATAATATTTTGTTCGCTCGGGCGATTTTCAGGAGTGAGAAGTCTGAATGTTTGTATTATTATTACTTCTATGCCTGTAGTCTGACCTATGGTGTCTTGGTATTGTTGTCTTCTGGTTCATTCATGAAATCAGTAAAATCCAAGTACCAGAGGGCAGTATTGTTAATGAGTTTCATGCCGAAAAATTAGTGAAGAAAATAAAAAATTTAAAATCAGTAAAAAAAAAACTAATAAAACATTGAAAACTTTATCGTTGTGCGTCCTGAAAAGAAATGATTGCGCTCTTATGCCATTCGAACACTGCTGAATCGAGCGGTGACAGGGAAACAGTAAAGTTTTATGATTCCTGGTGAAAAGAAAGAACGGACAGAGGAGCCTAGAGAGTAACGGACGTTATGGTAGAATGGTTGAGATCTTCGAATTAACGTTAGTAGCGGTTCCTGATCTTTGCGCAGATGAAAGTCACTGGTCTATTCGGGTCTGTAATTAGTGGGTAGGAGGTCGTGCGATCCTCATTTCCCATGGCGATCTGGTACTTGGTGATTTTCGTAGTTACTAGGTAGACATATCTAGTCAGAGCGAAATACGGAGGTGCCGATTACATCATGAGGAAGGGTTGATGATTTAGGTGAACGTCTGTGGTTCTTAAAGGCGAGTAGTGGCAAGTCTCGAGAAAGCCTATGTACCTGAGAAAGAGCAGTGATTGACTAGCTGTTTCATCCAGCACTAACGAGTTATCACAGGTAAAAATAGTTTGAGAGGAACGGATTTAACGAAAGTGCAGTGCTCGCTGTGGTTTGCGGGACGCAATAGAGGAATGTCGAAACATGCAAGCGTTTTAGAAGTGTTGTTCAGCTGAAAAAATGTTATGATCGAGTTAATAGACGAGTGGGGTAGAAGAGTATTTTAAAGGACTGGTTAGAGAAAACTGCACACTCTTCGCATCAAATGGGACGTCCAGCGATTACCTTGCAATTGCTTAATGGTCTTCAAAATACCTTCGTGTATTTGTTGGCACGTATCCACCGCTTAGGCCAACAACCATCGCATACACCGATTATGGCCGTAGTGCTTAGGAATTTAGGAGTGCCGATAACGGGTTGAGTTTGCTGTCTGGGAAGCATCCGAATAGTGGTCGTTGATCGATCAGGTTAGAGCAGTTCGACTTTTTTGTCCGAGTCCGAAAGAAATCTGTTGGAGTGGGGACATATTGGGAGAAGTGAACAGTCTTAATGTTTTGCTATAACAAAGCTTAACCCTGTGTTAGATTCGGCTCACTGAATCTGTTATTGCAGTCTTTACCACAATTCGATTCTAAATAGGTATTTTAAGAATTATATGCTAGAAATCAAACCATCTTATTCGTTTCCAATATCGTATAGTAAATCTACCCATAACTTCTTGGCGAATGGAAAGTGTGGAGCCCAGAAATTACCACATCCTTTTGTACCGTTGCTCTTCATTTTTTCGTTGCCATCTTCACTCGTCATTTTTCCATTGCCATTTTCTTAAGATTACTAAATACGATCGTGAGCGGGTCTTCATATTGATGAAGAGATATGAAAGTGATTTATTTACGAACGTTCTCTAGAAAGGGATCTACAGCTTAAAGCACGCTTTTTGTATATGATAAAGTTTCAAAGTGTTCTGCGTTGGTCAATTTCTTACGAACGCGTCATGCATTCATTCCTATTCGCAGCATCATAGAGGTGAATGAAGGCACATCTGGTTTATAAATTTGGGTTAGCTTGTCGTGGCTTACTAACGTATCAAGTCACTTCTGCTATTCTCCAAAAAAAGTTTGGAACCAATTTGCTGACCGCGGAGGGATGAAGCCCTTAAGGTGGAGGGAGAGAATCAGGGACTGATCGAATGTGTATTGTACACTTTCAACTGAACATTTGATACCAACTCAGATAGCCGAATTGTTAAATTTTTCAGTAACATTTGCCATCAATGTGCTACGTAACGATTATTGCACTGCTCTCTAAGAATTTCGTTCGGAGAATTGATAGAGTCATCCAAATGACAGCAGTAGGTGGATAACAAGCTTAACGCTACCACATTGTCCAAATAAAAGACCAACTTAAATAGTCTGAATTTTTTGTTTCTTTGATAAAGACTGCCATAAATAGGTTACTGAGCAAGCTATTGCACCAGGATCTATGAATTTCATCTCGAGAAGTGACATTCTTCCGGATAACGGCAGCGAATCACCAGTGGACTTCACTCACCTTTATTATAAGGATAAATCGAAATTTAGTAAAGACACTTCGGGCAGGGTAGTTGTATTAGCATTAAGAAAAATTTTCGACCTTCATAATCTCATTCACCCGCGGCCAAGTGGTGTTTGGCTGTCCACAACATGTTGAGCAAATAAAATGTTACGAATACAAGCACGTGAGAGAGCTCTCAAGCAACGACATTCTTTCCGACGACCTTTGTTCGTTTTGTTTTCTTAGTGCTTTCTTGTTATTTTCTTACTAAGGTGACATTTTGGAAACATTCTCAAGCCTTCTTTCCAATGCCTTAGAAACAGCAGTAACTCCGGATAACAACGACTCATATTCTGTTAATGGCATGTAAAGGTTATAGTGTGCTGATTTCAGTTGTCTTAGATCCGATATTTCACAAAAACTTGTTTTCTCCATTCTCAATACATCTGTTCACAATGAATTGTGTACGAAAGGAAGGAAAATATGATTTTCTTCTACGATTTCTAGCTTTATGTTGTGCTTATGTCCTGAAATGTGTAGAGAACAGAAAGCTAAGATTCCATGAAACTGAACTAGGTCATTTCAGAAGTCCTTTTCTGCTATATAGATGTAGTCATTAGTTCCGGCATTGACCCTTCCTTCTTTATCACATATAATGACGCAGTAACTTAATGAAGGTCGGTTCTACAGTATAGTTCCATTTACGCTACCTTTTTGTTTCATTCACTTGTGACCATTTGTCTCAGTTGCTTGTTGGAAGTATTCTAAAACTTCTTGGGGAAACTAACTAGAAAAAGGAGAATTTGTTTACAATGCTGTGAAATAGGTAGAAATAGATAGGAGATGTCAACGGTGCCAAATTCAGTGTGAGGGCATAGTGCAGTTGCACGAGGTGCCTGCATTAACCACGTGATCTTTAGTTCGATCCCGTGTCTCGAGCTACCCAAGCTGCTCATCCATCTAGAGTCGGATGATTGATACCAGACTTGTCTGGGAAGTGATAAACACTGAGTTCATAAATCTTTAGGCGTTCTCACGTCATTGTATGAGCGATATATGCATTCAGCTACGTCTGCAATGCCACGAATGGAGTCGAATGCTTGACATATCTCTGTGATGAATGCCAAACGATTTGTCATTTTACTAAGCCTAATCTTTCCCAATGATTCAACACTTTGCTTACTGTGGTGGCTGTCCTTTCCGCCTCTGTTTGTTGAGTTACCAATTTAGTTAAAATACCGTTAAAGAGCTTAAACTGAATATTTCTTTAAAATTGTTTTTAGTTGGAGAAATCTGAAATAGAAGTGACTTTAGAGGGCTATGTGCCTCCCAATTGCGCTAGATAACGGTGTGTTCAAATTGTGATTTCATTCTTCCTTTTTAAATAGTTTTATTCCTAAATAATATTTTTTTAGATTGGTAATATTGTTTCAGCATAGACATAACTTTTTTGTCGTACTGTATCAGGGAATCTTCATAGAAACTTCTGAATTCTATTGTTTTTCTATATTCTTGTCGAGCAAACCCGAAGTGTTACTTTATTCTTTATTGATTTTTCTGTTTTTTGAGAGCGTAGTATGTTGGTCGGCTTAGAGTCTATTACTAGTAAAGTGAATATTAGTAGTAAGTATAGCTACTTGGAAGCATCCATCATCGTTCATAACGAAGATCGGTGCGTAAAAATCTTTTATCTGCATCAGTTCATGATTTATATAAGGTGTTCTTATAGTCTTCATTGACTGTCGATCATTTTTTAATCACAGTCGATCAATCCTTGTTCAGAAAGTTCGAGACGATTCCATACAACTGATGAAGACCGAAATCGATAAGTGGTTTATCTTTATCAATCGATGGATGCTCTTTCAGTTGTACTGTGCACTTTGTCATGACACATCTCCTGTAACTCGTCCTTGTATCATTCTTTTTCTTACTTATATTGTTCTTTACTCAATGACAAATTCTCCAATGCGTTTCGCATTTTCACCTTTGTGTAGCCAAATACTTGTAACTACTACTCGTCATTTTTCAGATGAATAAACCAATTGTTGTGGTAGGGGAAGTGCCGAAGAAATATGGAAAGAACTATCTAAAACCAAACCCTAACTCGGCACATGTTATTGAAGGTGAAGCACCAGAAACCGATGACGAAAATGATGTAGATGGTTCATCAACATCATCAACTCAACAGGACGATGCAGCAATGCCACCGCAGTAGGTGTTCTTTTTTTCTCGAACACGATCTTTTTCGGTCATGGGATTTTTGCCTTGGAGGGTTTGAATGCGCAACAGTGAAATTTCATAGTGTGATATACTATTGCTATTTGGTCTTACCACTGACGAAGAGAAGAAAACCCTCATTGTTGCGTGATTTGTGGAATTTTGGAACGGATACTGCTGAATTCATGCTGGGAGGGAATATATCCTCTCCAAAATCTTCGCGAATTTTCGTTCAGAATCTTCAGAAAGTCATGTATGTCTTCAATATGAGAAATCTCGAGCCGATTAGTCGTGAGGCTCGTAATGTGCTCTGAGATTGAAGACAGGAGTGCAGCAGGAGTTTTACCGCGGATTAAACACTAACTGCTTGTCCTGAGACTGATTTTTTCTGATTTGAATTAGAAAATAAAACTAATTTGTCATCAGTCAGCTGTGAAGGTGAATTACTTGGTGTTATATAATGAGAGGTTTAGTGAATTTCTTATATAAGTGGGTTTATAATGAGATAGAGGTCCAGCCCCACACCTATAGGGCTAATTGATATCACACTTTGTTTTTTACTATCCGATATTTCTGACATAATTGTGTAAGCTTAACGTAGCCTTCATTTATGAGCGCTATACATTCCACTACTCATGGATTAGCTTTTAGATGTGCATTTCATCAACAGTATGGGCATCTATGGACTGAGATATGCTAAGCAGCATTAACATAGGAAATAATTTCGAAACAGGGAGAAGACTAACGACGTTTGGATTTTGCTTTTGGTTGAAGGACTGGTTTCTGGAGATTTCATGGATTTAAAGTACAATTATGTGCTTGTTACATTGAGTAGACATTCAAAACGAAACGAGTGATGCGGCGAAATATGAACCCGAAGAAATAGAATAACCTGTTGCTCAACTCCCCAGATCGTTTTCGAGAGTGACATTTTTCTTTCTGATAATGGTTCTACTCATATCATCTATAAGTTGACTGAATTACATTTTAATCATGTGATCGTTTTTAATACTAGTAATTTCTAGTTCGGTTCAACGTTAGATTTTATAGAGAAGTGTAACGTCTAATTGAGCTTTCTCTATCGTTACACTTCACGAATGAAAGGAAACCCTGCCATTGTTCTTCTTTTTTTCGGCCGATCATTTTTCTCGACCTTTGGCGTTTCGATGGCTTTTCGCGCAAATTCACAATGTAATTTTCCTGAAATGCTTCAGACAAGGTCATGGTAGAGAACACGCAACAAGGTCATTCAGCCGTTTTTTCTCTCGCTTCAGTTTTCCGAAAGTCTGGGGCATTTTCTTTCCTCACTGGGTTGTTAGAAACATGTGTTTTGCTCTCGTCTTGGTATAAAAAGGATAAAAAGGATAGAGCTCTCGGCGTTGATCAATCCCTAAGGGGTGCGCCATGCATTCGACTTCATCAAGTATCGCTTGGAGGTGATTGAGTACAGATCTGGCCTTTACAATGACTCGCGGTGGCCAACTGATGTATTGAGCCAGTGCTACTATCTTTCCAGACAAGTCTGGTATCAATCTGCCGACCCCGGAGGGATGGAAGGCTTGGCGGGCCATAGGTGCAGGAATCAATTCCACGTGTGTGTTGCAGGGCGCCTCCGACCACTGCGCCACATGCGTCCATCTTGGTATAAATGTATGATATTATCGAGAAAAACGAGTTTGTAATTGACTATACTTTTAATTGTTGATTACAAAGTTGGAGAAGTTCCTTCTGTGGTAATTGGAATTCTATGCCAAGGAGGAGGGTCCTACTGCTGGTCTCTTATACCAGTGCGGTCGACCTGTGACGTCTATGCATGAATGGCTAGAGTACTAAATTGTGGTGAAGACAGAGCGAAAGTAGAGTGATGAAAGTGGAAATGTGAATTGATTCCAGATACTTTCTTTATTTGGTGCGTGCAGCATAGTGGTTAGAGACGCCCTGCAATGCACATAGAATCGATCCTGCGCGCAGGCTCACCAAGCCTTTCATCCCCCAGGGGTTGGCAAAGTGGCACCAGACTTGTATGAGAGGATAGCAACACTGACTCGACACATCGGTAGTCCACTCTGAGTCATTGTATTGGCAAAATATGCATTCAATAGCCTCCAACGATGCGTGATAAAGTGGGCATCATGGCGCATCCCTCAGGAATTGATAAACACCAGGAGCTTTATCATTTGTATGTATAGTGTTTTTATAAAACTTGATTTTCATATACCCTAAAAAGGATTGCCGTCTCAGTGTCATAGCGGATTATTTCGATGTAAGCATCTTAAAAATCGCCTTTGATTAGGTTCGAGATTGAATGTTTTAACTTAAGTGATACTTGAAGCTAAGGTTTTTGCTCATTGTTAAAAATAGCTCAATATACGGTTGATATGACGTCTAATTAATGCCCACTGGCTCAAAACTTCGCCATTACGGCCAGATTCACAGTTAAATGAAAAGTTTTTAAAGTTGGTTATGAAAGTGAATTTATTCATAGTTAAACGTTACTGACAAATTTACTAGCATCGTCGTTATTTTAATCACAAGTGAAACATAGCTGCGGAGGAAAATGAAATGATATCGTTGCGTGGAGACGAAGTCAGAAAGCGATTATTACGCTGTAAAGATTTATCTACTAAAGGAGCGTGTAGCTCAGTGCTTTGAGGTGCTGTGCAGTACACACGTGGTCTTTGGTTGGATCCACGGGAGGCCATGTCCTCGATGTCTCCGTCCAGTATCAACGAAAAGGGGACCAGAGTTGGGATGAAAGCATTTACATGATGCTTCACTAGGTCTTCAAAAGTCATTCTGTGAGCCAAGTACAAATCCAATGACCTCATCGATGCTGCGAATGGATTTGAATGCATGGCGTTCAGTTCAGGGTTTGATCGGTGCCGAATGCTTTGTGCTTTCAATAGTTTATTAATGAATTTTTTTCATATGTCGGAATAATTTCATTGTTTCTAGGTAAGATTTTCAACGATTATAGTGTCTAACAGTGTCATAGTGGATTTCTCGCAATATTTTGTTTAGTCGTAGAAGATTCTTGTCTTAGTATAACCGACTTTGTTCGATCGTGCGTGGTAAAATTTTCGTTCCCTTTGGTCACCATATAGAGGAACCGGTCTTTTTTTTTGGCGAAGGCTACATTTGCGACAAAGGGGATCTTAAAACAAAGTCGCTGACTTGTCAATATTATTGCCTTTTGGAACTTTAGTTTGAAGAGGTCAAAGTTTTTGTATGAGAATTTACTTTGATTTGAGTTGTTCAATTCATTTCCTCATCTATTTTATTCAATTTGACTTGTTTAATATGCTTCGGTTTTATGGGAATCTGTTGACGCTGTGTCCTTTAACATGAAATTGTAATATATTAATTCGCAGTCATCTTACACAGGGCATAATCAGTTAATTAGCTGGAGATACAGAAAAGTCGAAAGGAAATAGAAAGTAAGGCGGGAAATTCGATGCTATCAGGTTTATTACACTAATGGCTGATTCTTCAAAGGGAGAGTATAAAAGGATAAAAGGACAAAGCACTCGACGTTGATCAATTTCTGAGGGATGCGCCATGCATTCGACTTCATTAAGCATCGTTTGGAGGTGATTGGATGCATATCTGGCCTTTACAATAACTCAAAGTGGCCTACCGATGTATCGAGCCAGTGCCGCTATCCTACCAGGCAAGTCTGGTACCGATTTGCCTACCTCGGAGGGATGGAAAGCTTTGTGAGCCATGGGCGCGGGGATCGATTCCACATGTGTGTTGCAGGGGTCCGAGCTGTGTCCGACCACTGCGCCACTCACGCCTTGGGAGAGTATAGGAAGAGCTTATGTTAATTAATACATTCGTGACCGTATGAGACATATACGAACTATTCATTTGAGGACAGGCTATATCATATTGGTTATATGTAGGCTATTTTCTGGTTTTTTTTCTGCACACAAATTTTCTACGGTACATTTAGTGCTAGGTGCATATGAAAAAGTGAGAGGGCGAAGAGAGTTTATGAAAGTGAAATGCTGGTTTTCGTTTTTTGCCAACCTTTAAGATACAGGGCTTTTTTTAAACAAGCAGAAGTTTGCTGTGATATTACGCACATCATTCTTTCAGAATTCAAAAAAAGCCACCATGATGGTGGTCTTTATATGGGAGGTTTTACTTTCTAAGAAGCTAGTCGTCAGAGAGAAACGTCTCTGGCAAAGACATTTTTCGTCGAAACGCAAGAGCCGTTGTAAAGTAAGTGGTGTGATGATATTATGTCATTCTTCGTATTCTTGTTGAGCAAACGCGAGGTGGTTTGCTCAAAAGAATACGAAGAATTACTTGATCAATGCCGAGGTTAAAAGAAAGTTCGTCGTGGGATGTCAGTTCACTTCGAGGATTCGTCAGAATATAATAACTTATAAGCTCTGAGGTCTTTGAAAGTCTTTTTATTCAAGAAAATATTTTATACTTACTTAGCCTTACTTCTGTTATAGGTTTTTTTTTCCACAAAAGGAAAAAAGTGTGAGCTGAAACTGCTAGAGACAGCTCTGGCTCCCATAACACCGTATGTAGGACTTTCTGTACTTTCAATCAGTGCTAACGACACTAATAATGTGCAGTCCATGTCAGAGATTTGTTTGAACTTTCAAACAAGGCACTTCACAAAGAGTGACAATATGTGTCGGTTTATTGTTCTGTTGTGGTTGCGAGCATAATGCAACTAACATCTCAACTCTTCTTCTTTTTTACGCTAGTGGATTGAATACACAAGATTTGTGTGGTGTTTGTACTGAACGACTGGACTTTTAATTTGTTTCTAAGCTTTTTTTTGGTGGTTTGTAGAAGGGAGTAACAGTGTGATGGGATGTCTCTGTTTTGCGAACCTTTTTTTTTTATACGGCCCGTCTTTCACATCTACTACGCTGTTCCCAGCACTTTCCACATTCGATTCGTCTCGTCGCACCCATGGGCTACGGAGGTCCTCCAACTTTTTACGTGTGGCTTCTACTTGAGGATTTTTCT